GTGCGGGGACAGCTCAGCTCCACGTAAGGAGCGTCCTCCCACAAGAGCTATGGAGCCTGAGTGGCTGTGAGGGAGGAGTGAGCACCCTGTCTCAAGAGGTGAGCAAGGCGGGACCTGATCCCACCTGTGCCGTCACAGGCAGGTGGGTGCATGACGCAGGCAGGTGGGTGCACGACGGCGGTGCGTCACGCAGGCTCAGGTGGTTAGCGTCCCCCCGGGGAGCACTGAGGGGGCAGGTGGGGGCTACTCCTCGGGACAGCCTCCCACCGGGAAGGAGGCTGCTCAGCAGAGGCCAGCCGCTTCCCTTCTCCAGAGTCTGGTGTTCAGGGCTCACCAGCATCCCCACTTAGGAGACTCTGAACTGGGGTGTCTGGATTCCCAGGAAGCACTGGCCCTTTGAGGGGTTCTTTCATTTCTGAGACTTTGGTCGAGGCCTCTGTAGTTTGAGACTGCAGTTCTGGGCCCATTGGGCGAGCTTGGTGTCAGGCTTTGGGCTGTCAGCCCCTCCTGCTGCTTTAGTAGGACGTGTGGCCACTGGACCATATGAGTACACCCGTCTTAGCCCAGGCCCCTCAGGGTGGGTGGGTGGAGTCATTTCAGGACAAAAGACCCAGAGGGTTCCATTCAGCTGCTATTACAGTGAAGATGGGAAAACCATGTAAGATGATAGAGCTCCTAGCCAAATAAATCAGTGAAGGAGGAGAGAGAAGCAGAGCCGGACAGACAGACAGGGGAGACAGGCCATTCTTTCTCACACCCAGCAGCGAGTGTCCAAAGTGGTCATTCAAGGAAGTTGATTCTCACTTGAACTCTGGGAGCACCACTATCCCTTAAAATCGCTTTCCTCATTTTCTGCAGTCCAGAAACCCTTTTGGTTTTGAGAAGGGCCCGGGCTCTCCACCTGGTGGCCTGGGCTGTGGCCCCTGAGATAGAGGTGGGCAGAAAGGATTGAGCCAGGTCTTGGGACCTGTTCTGCCCCTGCCCAGCTCTTAACAGGGTCTCAGGAAAACAGGGGGTGCCCACTCCCACCTTCATCCTCGTCTACCCCTAAATCCCCTGGAGGCCTTAAAAAGGCTCTTCCACTCAAGGGACTCGATAGGGAGTCAAGACGTCTCTTCCTTTCACCCTGGGTCCCTGCTCGTTGCTGTGTGAACCCCTCTGGTCTGACCCCTTCTGGACAATTAAGGGGTTGACAGTCTCTGAGCAGGTACTGGCCTGCCTGTCAGGGCGGAACCATGTCTGCCCGCTGGGCTTGGGAAAGCTACACTCGACAGCAGCCGAGGAAGATGCAGCCTGACCCTGAACAGTTTTCTGCCCTCCCTGGGCTGAGGCCTCTGCAATTCCCCCAGACATATGCAACCAGGCCCGGCGGGTGGATCTCCTGGCCACGCCGGCCTTCTCATATGCAATATTCCTCTGTCTTCTCATGGGGATTGTTCACCCCAGAATTGACACCTCCTGACACCCGTCCCCCAGTGAGCGTCCTGCCTGCCTATGCATTTTGGGTACAGCCCCTTGGACATGCCCCTTCCACCCCCTAAAAGCTGTATTTTTCTCTGGCTGAGATTGGAGCATATTCCTTGTATTTTTCTACATGGGGTTTTCTTAGGGCTCTCGGGAAGCACAACATGCCAAGGGGTGGCACTGTAAAGGCCACTTGGGGTCTCCTTGGGGCCCATGTGTACATTCGCCCTACCGACTTGCAGTGACGTGGGAGTGGGGGGCGGGGGTGCTGTTGGGATGATCTTTTTAAATAAAATTATTTAAAAGCACTTGGATTAGTGTGTCTTCTTTTTAAAACAAAAAAAAACAGGCTGGTGATACCTATCTAATTACCCATGACAGTTTTCACAAAACTAGGACAAATAATCCTAAAATTTCTATCGAACCACAAAAGAAAGACCCAGAATTGCCAAAGTAATTCTGAGGAAAAAGAACAAAGCCGGAGGAATAATCCTCCCAAACTTTACACAATACTACAAAGTTACAGTAATCAAAGCAGCATGGTATTGGCACAAAATGGACATATGGATCAATGGAACAGAATAGAAAGCCCAGAAAAAAAAACCCACACACTTATAGTCAATTAATTTTCGACAGAGGAGGTAAGAATATACGATGGAGAAAGTCTATTCAGCAAGTGGTGCTGGGAAAGTTGGACAGCTGCATGTAAATCGATCGATCAGTGACATTAGAACACTCCCTTATGCCATGCACAAAAATAAACTCAGACTGGCTTAAATATGAGACATGACACTACAAAACTCCTAGAAGAGAACATAGGCAAAATATTCTCTGACATACAACATAACAATGTTTTCATAGGCCAGTCTCCCAAAGCAATAGAGATAAAAGGAAGAGCAAAGAAATAGGACCTAAACAAAACCTGAAAGCATTTGTACAGCAAAGGAAAACATACAGAAAGCGAAAAGACAACCTGAGATGGGGAGAAAATATGTGGAAATGATCTCATGACAAAGGCTTAATTTCCAAAATATATAAACAGCTTATAAAAATCAACAACAAAAAAAACAATAAAAAATAGGAAGAATAAACATTTCACAAAGAATACGTACAGATGGTGAACAGACACGAGAAAAGATGCTCAATGTCACTAGTTATTAGAGAAATGCAAGTCAAAACTACAAGGAACTACCACTTCACTGCAGTCACAGTGGCCATCATCAAAGTGTCCACAAATACTAAATGCAGCAGACAGTGTGGAGAAATAAGAATCCTCCTGAACTGTTCGTGGGAATGTACATTGGTAAGAGCCACTATAAAGGGCAGTATCGAAATTCCTATAAAACTAAAAAGAGAGCTACCCTACGTTCCAGCAGTTCTACATGGGGGTGTATTTCTGGAGGAATCCATGATTAAAGAAGACACATGTACCCCACTGTTGATTGCAGCACTATTTACAATCGCCAAGACACAAAAACAACCAAAATACCCACATATAGATGGATGGATAAAGACGATATGGTACCTGTGTACAATGGACTCTTAGCCATAAACAAAAACAAAATAATGTCAAAGGAAGAAACATGGATGGAACAGGGATGATCATAGACTAAGTGAAGTCAGTCAGAGGAAGACAAATAGCATATGATATCATTTATAGCTGGAACCTAAAAAAATGATACAAATGAACTGATTTACACAAGACTCACAGATTTAGAAAACAAACTTACGATGCCCAAACAGGAAAGCTCAGGGGCAGAAATAAATAAGGACTTTTAGATTAATGTATACACAATAATATACAAAAAATAATGAACAAGGACTTACTGTACAGCAAAGGGAAGTCTACTCAACGTTCTGCAAAAACCTATACGGAAAACAAAACAAAAAAGGATATAATTATACGTATAAATGAATCAGGTTACTGTACACCTACAACAGACACCACATTGTAAATCAACTATATATCAACAAACCATAAATGTTAAATTAAAAAAGAAAAGAAATGCCTACTACATTCCCCTCCGGGCAGGGTGATCTAGGCTTGTATCATATACCCTAAGCATGAGGAGGCTTTGGTCCCAAAGCTGGACTGAAGTGGAGGTGGGAGAGCAGGAGAGGATGTGCCCACAGAGGAGAATCCCAAAGAGCTGTACTGTCTGTCACTTCTCCATGGAACCACAATCACCGGCTGCAGGTGGGCCCTCCGACAGCTAAACGAAGCCGAGAGCAGCGAAACCAAGGGGGACCCTCGGGGCTGCAGGAGCTTCAAAACGGGACTGAGCCTCCACGGCTGCTGGTGGTGGGGTACCCACATCCAGCCTCCTTGCCAGGAGTCACCCCACCTACACACCTCAGGACCCCCAGCAGGGTGGTTCCGCCAGGGTTTGGAATTTTCGGGGGCATTAAGCTTAACGGGGAAGAGGTACTGACACACAAGCCCCTCTAATTCACAGCCCAGTAAGATGACTCTTCCAAAAGCTTTTGGTTGCCAACAATCTAGAGTGGGCCACGAAGAAATGCTGCCGCCTTGTGGACGTTTTCCGGAACAACAACTATACAACCGGTGCTTCAGGGCACCTCATATTCACGAAGCCTGTGAGGCCTTTAAAGACGAGTGTCCTCAAAAATGACCTGGGTTAGGTAACAGAAAAAACATTCGAAAAACACAGACTTTCAAGAACCCAAATTTCAGGAGGGAAAGTTTACACACACTTAAAAAAAATACACACCACAACAAGATGCAGAACATCGCTCATTATTGGAGAAATAAAACTCCAAAGGGTAACGACGCATCGTCTCCCAGCAGGCAAAACTGCCAATACCAAAGTCTACAAACAATCGACAGGGAATGAGGGTGGAGAAGAGGGACGTGTACATTGGTGAGCGCCACCAGAAAGCACTGTATCCCAGTTGCTAGAAAACTATGGAGAATGCAAACCTATATTTCTCCTGTCCCACTCCTGTGCGTTACACGGGAAAATCCGTAATTCAACAAGACACATGCACCCCAACGTTCGCTGCTGCACTATTTACAATCGCCAAGACATAAAAGCAAACAAATAGTACAGTGAGGAATGAATACATAAAGAGGAGTTCCTACGTGTACTGAAGGGGCTGTTACTAAGCCAGGAGAAAGAATGAAATAATGCCATTATAAGCAACATGGGTGGACCTGGGATGCCCAAACACTGAGTGACGTCAGCCAGACAGAGGAGGACCCACAGGATATAA